TCTACGGCGGCAAAATGGACGGTATAGAACCTGTCAATAATACGGAGCGTCTGGGCTGTATACATGTGGAGTGTAGCAGGCAGTCGAACGTGCCGGCGAGGGGTCCGGCAGCACCCTGGGGTTTGCCTCCCTCGCCCTCGCTCAGTCCATCGCTCGCCGCGGAAGCGGCGACGCTGCGTGTACCCCTGGATGTGGTTGCCCAAGGGCGGTTGTGGTAGATGGTGCTTTGTGCTTGCGAGGCATTATACCCGCTCACGTTGGAACGTGTGGGTACACAGCAGTAGTGTAGCTGCGCGCTCCAGTGCCAACGTGGATTACGGTAGCGGTCACTCATCGGACTGTTAAAACCGGCTTGTCACGATTAGACGATTAGGCGAGTAGGCGACAAGGTGAGTTCACGACTCGGGAGATTAGGATAGTAGGCGACAGGATATTAGGATAGTAGTAGAGTAGGAGATTGCGCTGATACGTATCGATTGAAATCGCTGGAGAGTAGTAGATTGGGCGACTTCAAGCGAATAGATCAATACATATCTAATCTTGTCAGCGCACTATCCTAATCTACTACTATCCTAATCTCCTACTCTACTACTATCCTACTATCGTAATATCGCAATCTACTACTCTCCGGCGATTTCAATCGATACGTATCTAATCTTGTCAGCGCAATCTCCTACTCTACTACTATCCTAATCTCGCCGTCAATACATATGTTTTTCATTGTCGCGTACTATCCTAATCTCCGGAGTCGCGAACTATGAACGCGGCCTAACACTTGCTTGATCCACCCATAGAGCGATCGCTCGAATCGCCTTCTCACCTCGTTAGTCGCCTGCTCGCCTATTCGCATAATCGCCTAATCGGTACTGCGTTTTATAACAAATTGATTGCCTTATCTCACGTACGATCGATAACTCTGAACGCTGCCTGACTGTCCCGCTAAGTTTGTGAATCAAGTTCGGGCGCTCATGTCTTTATGGGGAGGGGGGGGGGGAGGGAGACACTCAAGACGAGACATTTGAAAACCGCTAGTGTGTTTCGCTAACGATAAGACTGAGCTCCGAAGAGGGAGAAACGCCAGGGGGGATAAAGGTTGCTAACGTCGCTCTCCGAATCTCCTTCCCCCCCCCCTTAAGGCTCAGTCCCAAGTTCTGTAAGTAGTGGCTTACCACTCAATGTCCCCCATAATGAAATGAGTTTCCAACAACAAGAGCGGTCGCACCCTCCAAATTGTCGGACCTCGAAGGCAGGTAGTACGATAGGTTGGTTCTGTTAAGAATGAATGTGGAGCAGCGGGCAGGTGCAAAATCTGAGGAAGCTTCCAAGGGAAAGGGCCCGAACCCCCGGAAACGGGATCTTTGTTTCCCCTTTGATTTTCGCTTTGGGAGAGCCACATTATCTGACGTCATCAAGTGAACGCTGTGTTCTGCTTCTGTGCTGGGAAGGTCAGAATCCGACGGCGAAGATCCAGCAGGACTAGGGTAGCTAGTCGCTGAGCGGGCGAGGATTTGGGCTTCCTCAGGCCGCCACATTTACCCCTCTCAAGCATATGCATTTCATCGTGCCACATGAGTTCAAGACATTGGGGAGAGTTCAAAGGTCGTTGGTGGGACTTTAGCGGTGACCTTAACTTCTGACTGCAGGGCAATTCAGTAGCACGGTGCGATTTTCGGTGTAGCGATTCACCAGTTGAGTGATAGTGAGTTCTTCAGATAGCTATATTAAAAATGGTGGCTAGTGAGAGACGAGAATCCCATTTCACTTCCATTATTGATCGTGGCAAGAAGGAGACCTACTTTTTCTTGGTGATGGAGCTTGTTGGACAAAGCCTGGCGGCGCTGAAAATGGCAAGGCCAGCAAAGGTTTGTTTGGAGATTCGAAACGAGCGTTAGGAAGTCACGAAGACAAGTAGTGTTTGCAGATATTTTCAATATCTACTGGTTTGGGAGCCGGAATTCAATGTTTGGAAGCATGCCAAGACCTGCACAAATACGGATTCATACATCGGGATCTGAAACCGGCTAACTATGCTATTGGTCTAGCGGAAAAACGGAGAACTGTGAGTCCAAGCTATCAAATGTAGGATTGAACGCTTACGTTCAAAATTGTTCAGAGATGTGTTGCTTGTGACCTTCCAATGAACTTCGAGCTAAATCCACCTCAGCCCATGCCCTCAGGCCTGACTCAACCCAATCATGGATCGAGGTTGTATTAGGGTTAGGTCTCCAGAGTAAGCTGCGAATGCAGTCGACCAGTCCACAGTACGAATGTACTAACTGCAGCCCCAAGTCCAACACACTGTCCTCGGCGCCACAAGTCAAGCATGCTGGTCCGTCGCGACACTCTCAAAAGAATGGCTCACTCCTGTTTTTACGCTTACATGGACAGTCTTTCAGGTCATGGAGCGCTTTTCCGAAATGGTTTCTTGCATGTTGTAAAGGCATCGTGCGAGGAACCCCAGTGCCACGATCCATTTCCGCTGAACACTCTGGGACCTCAAGAACAGCGGTGAAGAAATGGTCCAAAGTTCAATCCGCTGCGGTGACAATTTTTTGCAAAACATGTTGGAGCCTCCCCTAATTGGTCGCCAAATCACGAGGATGACATGCTTAATCGACGCTGGTGCCATTTGGACACAATTTGGAGGCGCCAACATAAATTGCAAAAATTAGACATCACGGAGGATCGAACTTTGGACCATCTCTTCTCCACTATTCTGACCTTCCTAGAAGCGTTCAGGAAAACGGACCATGGTTTTGTGTTCCTCGCATGAGTCTCTACAAAGTGCAGGAAACCATTTTGGAAAAGCGCTCCATGACCTGAAAGACCTCCCTTGTTAGCTTCGGACTTTGAGCACGACTAAAAGTTTTTCAAAAAAAAAAAAAACTTCGACGCTCATGTCATTGAAGATGAGGGGAGCATCTAGTTTGAGCCACGAACAGCGGTTTAGGACTGACCGAGAGAATTCAGGGAGGGGTTTTGGCAGGGTGAAACGTCGTCGTAAGACGTTGGGTCGTCAGTACCCCCCCCCTCCCTAGATCGGGATCTTGATACGACCCCTCTAACTTTGCCTTGATGTGAATAAGCGAGTTCCATCAATGCGCAGCAAAGGTTGCAGCGCGGTTTATACGTGGGTCAGATTTGCCGAAACCCTGAGGTAGGGTCTCTCGAATTTTGTCGAGGGAGCGTCGAGGATGCGGAATTTTTCAAGCGAGTTTTTGCCACTTAAAAGGCAATATCTCTCTAATTTCGCAAATCTTTGGAAAGCGAAGACAGTTTTGGAAAGCGGAAGGTTTGCGCTTTCTAACAGTATGTTTAGCTTCCTTCTACATTCTCTAGTTGAGGAGATATTTGCGTCGAGGATCTATCAAGGATGATTCTCGGCCGCTCAAAAAGCCGCTCCCTTCTTCACCATTGCAAATGTAATTTGTTGACAGCGCTCGAAATGTGTCTAGAATAAATTCTCCCAACATAAGCGACAAGAAGGCTGGCAATCTTCATCGTCCTGCCTCAGTATAAGCCGTGCATCCGTCCTTCACTCTTCAAGTTGTAGAATCTATTGAAAGGTATTGCAGATATGATAAATGACCTCCTGCCTGACAAGATGTAGTTAGAACGACATTTCGTAACTCCCGTAACCTCGAACAGCTTCTCATTCGCCCTCTCTCTCTCTCGAATGCACGATTGTCGCATTGCGACAGCTCCCTAACAACTGCCTCACTTTCAACGGGTTATTAAGAGCGAGAGTGCGCGCCTAGATAAAAAGGAGGTGCCTCTAGCGCACATGTACACACTGCGAAGATGCACTTTCATTCCTTGTACTGCTTTCAAATACGTCCTTCTCATAAAGGTAAAGGAATGGAGCGACTGGACCTGCAAAGAATATTTCATCTCATGTTTTCTCACATATCCTTGTTTTCTGCTGCGCTACACCCCCTCTCTCCTATCTGACGTTACTGACCCCAATGAGTACGACCCCCCCGCCTCGATCGACGCCATCCTGAGCAGTACACTTCCTTTCGTCGAGGAAGTCCTCGATCCGAGTCTTCCACAACCTGGTTTCTGGGAGGAAAACAGATTGCCTCTCCTGAGCTGGGTCTCTGTGTCACCTACCGTCGGCCCTGTTGCAAATGCTCCCTTCAGGCCCCGATATGAGCGCCGAAACTACAAGTTCCTCACCGGTTCTGGTCTTGGTTTGCACCGCTAGACCAATGATATTTATCTTTATAGGTGTACATTCTCGATTTCGGTATAGCACGGAAAATATTGAATCCGAAAGGCGAGCTGAAAGCTCCACGTCAAACTGTTCGCTTCAAGGTGACATAAACCTGTCTAATCATAAACAAAATTACAGATAAACTATTCTTCCATTACCGACAACAGGGCTCACTCGGAGCACAAAGTTTTGTCACCAGGCGGATGTTCAGTAGCGGGGAAAGATCTTTGCCTCCGCTAGGAATCGGGCATCAACCTCACCCCCACCCCCCTCAAGCTTCGATACTAACTCCGGTATCAGATCAGATTATCAACACACGCCTTACTCTCCAACAATCGCAACCCCGACTCGAAACTCTGCTGTTTCTTTCTTATTCTTGAGCGAAGAACCCATTACTTCTTTAAGGGAACTATCCGTTTTGCCTCGATAGCATGCCATAAAAATATTGAAATGGGTCCAAAGGACGACTGCGAATCCTGGTTCTACTTACTACTCGATCTTATAATGCCAAGAGGTACTAAGTTGACTTAGTTCTTTTCTACATTACCGTAAACTTCCTGCAGTAGTCAGCTTCAAGGGCATTCTCTTCGTGGTTCGGGAAAACGGTTGCCCTCCTAACACATTCAACACGAAACGCACGAGGTGTTCGGAGCCGCTCGTGGGCTTTCGCTAGCCGACCGTCGCTCTCGGTCCTCGGGAACCATGCGGTTTCGCGTGACCTCCGCACCCCGGGGCCTTACAGGGTTCCTAACCCAGGAACGGGGGGTTACAGGGCCATGCCCCGCGGTAACAACCCCTTGATGCTCGCAGCACATGATGACCTATTGCGCCTTAATCGGGCCCCAGCCCTGGCGCTCCCCCAAGCTTACCCGTGCTGCTACACTTGTACACAACATTACACTGCTTGGACTCCACAGTTTATTAAAATCCTTCATACTTTCCTACAACTGAAACTTCCTGCCGAGCGTGGAGGAAGCCTGGCCAACGCTTGTAGTGTCTGCAGCCTTTTAGCGGTAACAGCGGTAACAACGGCCTGCAGGCCGAAAGTGTCCCTCGGGTGTAGCGGGACACTAACTTACCAGCGCTCCGAAGCGAACGGGACAGCATGCTCGAACATGCTGACGGGTGCTGGTAGGCAACCGCCCGTTTCGCCTATCGCTGCGCGTCTGTCGCGAGAGACCCGTTGTTCTCCTCGTGTAGGAGGAGACGAAGAGCGCCGACTGGCAGAGGCGACCCTTTATATAGGCCTCGGCTGGAGGCGTGGCCGGAGGCGGAGCACGCGCCTCTCGCCGGTGCGTGCGCCGCCAAGCGACCAACGGCGCGACAGGGGGCCGGGCGCGCGGTGCGCCCACGACCGTCGTCGCGAACCGCGACATGCATTCGACACACTATATAGTGGTGTTTTAGGGCTTTTATGGAAATCGGTCCCTGACAAAAATATGGTGAGAAAAATAAAAGAAGAAATGCGCACAATCAGAAGAGTAAGTGATTCGGTTTCACAAAATATCGGAAAGACATGGGCTTTCATATTCTGTCCTGCCGTGCGTTAAAATGGATATCCGACTTGACTCCGGCGCAGAGTCCGACTATCGATTTCTCACATGAAAACACTGAAAGTAGCGCTCTAACCATGAGATTTAGCACCTAGAAGTCCAACACAACCACAGGTAAAATTTTAGGAAGCAGCATTCCATGGAGTTAAGTGTAAAACACAACTTATGAGCGTTATGGATTACTTGGATACGTTACAGTATCAAGATCGTGTCGACTATGAATATATATACAAGTTACTAGAGCTAGTTGGTGACCACTTCTTCATTACAAGTAATAGGCCTGATGATAGCATAGTCAAATTTCTATGTATTACTAATAGAAAATTAAGGAATCTTCCACGGAAAAAGCTCCGCCCTCATTACCACAGAAAACGATACCTTAAAGGAATCTTCCACGGAAAGAGTGATCATTTTGTCTTGTGTGTAGGATTAGTATTATCGAAACTAACGCTTATGTTCCGTTCTTTTTGCTATGCTCATGAGGCTAGGGGCCTAAGGGGTATCGTTTTTCTGTGGTAATGGAGGCGGAGCTTTTTCCGCGGAAGATTCCTTTAAATCAAAGCATGGAGGAAAAAGCATT